TTCCTTCTTCTTCCCCCCCCCCCCCCCCCTTCCCAAACCCCCAAGAAAAAAAAATAGAAAAAGGAAAAGTTTCTCCCCGTCCTCAGGCTCACGCTCATGGGAGTCCTGGAGCTCAGCCATGGCCAAGCCCATGGACCTTTACACGCAAATTCATAAGCACTCGAAGACGTGCTGGACTTTTATACGAGACATTTCTCATCAATCCCAGCTGAGATAAAAATAATTGTGGTTGGAGGCGATCGTGGCTCCTTGTCTCAAAGCTGGAATCCAATTGCGGAGGATTTTAATGGAGTACGCATCAAATCAATTGTGCAGGGTTCGGTGGAAGAAGTACATGTCGGCATCGCGGACGGGCTGCTCAGCCAGGAAATCGTGTACTGTGATTTCACAGGATTCTTGTTCCCCTGGTGCCTCTTTCTTGGCACTGGCGACAACAGGTTCAAAGTCCTGCACCACAAACGGTCGAGATGGAAACTGACAAGCGATTTCGAAGCATAGGAAACCTGCAATCCGCCAATTGACAGTGATAAAAACTTTGTTTGTCGTCTTACCTCTATCAAGGCGTCTATGTGGAGCTCTTTGGAAACAAAGAACGTTTCATTATAATGATAAATTCCAGTTCTAGCTACCTTTTTTGTAGGTCCCTGTGGAACATCATCATTATTATCCACTCCCATATATTGGTCTGCGTTGTGACAATTTTTTTTCATTTCTTCCCTATTAAGCACAAAAGATCGATTTCTACTTACTATATCCATATATGCATTATGCATTATACAAATGACAAACCGTTTAAATGGTTAAAAAAACACAAGAGATGTAGGGCCAGTGCCTTGATGGTAAGTAGCAGTGACTTTACGGAAACAACGGAAAACGAAGGTTTGATGGAAACGATTAGGTAATCTAGCTACAGGCCACGAGACTGATGATGATGATCAGGCGTTGGTGATCCTCTCAATCTGAATTGTGGCAAACGTCGCAAAAGTGATGTATGAAAGAGGGCGGGGGAAATTAGGTACTAGTACCTAGTGTGGTGCCTTGTTACCTAACAAGAGAGTCCGGAACAAAGACGAGCGCTGAGAACAAGAACATTGTTATCAATGCAAACAAGAGTTTTGTCACGAACAAGGTCCATGATTATTTAGCAATGGCAGTGGTTGCCGGCTATATATTTTGGACATTGGTCTGATGAGCCACAGAGAAGTTTTGCAGAAATACATCAATCAAAACTCCTAAAACGAACAATATCAAATGAACACCACCAAGGCCACGGATCAAGCAAGCGCGATGACAGCAACGGCGCCCTTTTTGCGCCTGCCGACCGAGCTTCTTCACGACATTGTCCAATATATCGAGGAACCTGAAGATGTTGCAGCTTTCGTGAGTAGCTGTAAGCATTGTATGCTAGCTTTGGGTAAAGATTTTGTTCACGTACGATCTGCAAAGTTATGGATCGTGATTCAGCCCTTGGAGGACCTGTGGAGATACAGGAGTTGGGATGCGAAGCCTCTAACAACACTAGAGATGGCAATAGAGAGAACTTTTGACAAAGATATTCTCGAGTGGATACTGGATCTGCATGTGACGAATTATCCTCAGTGCCTCGAGGAAGAGACAATCATCTCCAGCGTCGAACCCTCCTTACTTGTCAAGGCAATCCATCACCACAACAAAGCAGCAGTCCAATTGCTTTTGGACCGGGGCGTTAAAATCCTAAAATCTACTGCAACAGTAGAGGAAGTCAACAAACACTGGGAAGGGTTAATATGCCCCCTTCTGTCCGCTCTGGATGAGTTCCCCATAAGCAAAGATATCGTGCACGTTCTCCTAGAAGCAGGTCATTACGTGGATCACGAACACCTGTGTAGAAGTATTTGGAAGGACAACCCGGAATTAGTCAGTCTTCTGCTAGAACGAGCGCCGGAGTCATATGCAACAGAGGCGAGAAGATACCAGCTGCTTGAGTATGCAGTCATAGGAGGCGATGATGAAGACCCCAAGCTACTGGAGATGCTTATCAACAGCGGTATGGATATTGGAAGCGCACCGGAGGCGGAAAGAAATCGGCTGCTTAAGACTGCAATCACAAAAGGCAAGGATCGAGACACCAAGATACTTGAGTACCTTATCAACAGAGGTCTGGATATTGAAAGCAAGACCGGTAGGTATCTTGACCCGGAATATCCTGGTAGGCCAAAGCTAGCTTTCGACCCGATAAAATACTCGATACAAGCGGGCTATCCACAAAGCGCAATTTTTCTTCTACGACAACAAGTTCTCCAAGGTTTGCACACGCTTGAGAGTCTGCCAAATCTCGCTCAACCAGTATTCGAGGTTTATGCCGGATCGCAATTACGGAGACCTGAAGTGTATTCCCACAATTTTGGATATGTTGAGTTTACCATGGCACTCCACGCAGAATTCACCACTTCCATCTGCAATGCACTCACCCTCGAGGAGGCAGACGTTGAACAAAAGTATCGCGAAGGCTGTGACTTTATTATGTCTCAGGTGCTTCAACACTCCATTCATTCGAGCAAACTCATGACATATATGCTTGCAAACGGATGCAGGATTTTGCCCGAATTTATTTTCCAAGAAATTGAGTTCTGGCGAATGGCCGAGCACTGCCTGGTAACTAATCACGAACACCCATATCGCAAATTATGCAAACGGTGCAAAAAGCGCAAGGGTATCAGAAATCCTTGTCCTAAAGGGGACTCTTCGTACACAGAGGCCATGTCGCATCTGGACTTGTTACTTTCCTGGGCTGGTTCAGATCTGATCAACAGCAGAAACAAAGTCAATATCGTCCGGAAGAGAGTCCAGGAAGAAGTCGAGATGACACCTCTTGATTACGCCTGGGCTGGTTCAAGCAGCATAAGCAAGGTCAAGCTCACCAGTGGAAGGGTCAAGGAAGTGGTCGAGATGACACTTCTGGACTACGCTCTCGTGAACTGTATTTGGCCGGTCGTCTTCTGTCTGGTCCGGCACGGAGCTGACTTGACGTCACTCGATCCACGAGCGGAGCAGTCAATCCGCCAAATGTACAACGACAATGCCCTTTGGTGGGCCAAGGGAGGGAATGTTCCAATTGAAGACGCCATGGCAGGTCGATTTGTACCTGAACGGCAAGTATTCGGCCAGGACATGTCGGAGGGAAGTCAGGCGACCCAGGCTTTGGCTCTGGTTATGCTAACGATAGGACTTCCGAGCGAAGACCAAGTCAGCGAAGCGCCGTCAATGGCAAAGCAAGCACTAACATCTGAAAAAATGGCCAAGATCTCGAGCAGAAATTGGCGAGCGGCCGTAAATGGATCGTGGAAGACGCGCAGATTTTGGGAATAGTGAAGATAATGATGTAGTATGGGCGTGTGTGTTATATAGACAGTATTCTCGCAATGTGTCTGTAAAAGCTGGAAAATTTGAAATTTAAATTTAGACTGTTGTGATTATTAAATGAAATTTATTGCTAAAATGAAGCAAGCAAGCCAAACACGATGTGTTAAGTCGCGAAGATGCCCGACAAGGGAGGCTCTTCATAGTCCATCGAGACGGATGGCCTCCCGAACCCTGAATGCAGGAGAATGTGCTCCAGGTTTGATTAAAGTATTATTTTACATGCCGTAGTTGTTGAGCCTTAGCCATCATGCCGTGGCTTTCATGGCTCTTTGCAACGTCGGAGAGACGATTCAAAACGCAACCAACTGCATACCTACATGACATATTATGTAACGCAAGCACAAACATCACCCCTGTTCACCAACCGCTAGACTTGGCGATGCTACAGGTCACTGTAGAACTTGTGAGCCCGGCTCGGTGCATGGAGAGCATTCAAGGCGGAGCCAACCCGCGTCGCCACGCAGAAGGTCGGAGTGGTTCGAGATTCGCTCGTTGGCACTCTTTCAGATACCCATGTACCTAAAGATGACCGATTTATTGGGGCGCTGTGTGGGGGGGCCCAAGACGCCGCGCGCGATGTGCTTGCTGGGTTCGACCCCGACTCCAGCGCTTAGCGCCCCGCAAGCTTCAGCTGAAGACGAGAATATGCCGACGAATAGATCAACACTCCCATTAGTAGGGAGATAGCTGAATAGGTGCTATTACTTCAATTCATGTCCGTATGCATTGGAAATATTCCTCGGATATGTAGTCCCATGACCGAGCTACCATGACCAGACTATGCAGTCTCCGACGCCAAAGCAGATGCCAGACATCAGTGAGGTGTGATTGGGTACCATGCAGCACTGTGAGAACCAGAATTACCAACAGGACGCGCGCTTCGGTCAGATCTCATCTACTAGTAAAACACCTACACAAGGGACCCTGCTTGGGACAGATTTTCCAGAGACAACAACCCTCTTAGACAAAACACTGCAAAACTCAATAGCACACCATGTCATCCTCACAAAGTAGAATTGCCCAGCTGTCAGAAGCTATAGCTACCCACTCTCGTCTAGTTGACGAATATCTCTCAAAGAACAACCTGCCGCAGCCCAGCTTTGACGCAGATGGTCCCAACAACTTGGACCTCCCACCTGAGATCGAGGCATCGCGTGCCCAGGTCCTTGCAGCAACACGAGAGCTCAATGATCTTCTTCAAGGTCCGCGAAATCTGCTTTTCAACCATGAGGTGCGCGCATTGGTTTAACAATTATGGAAACGAGTAGTATTGACGCCAGACAGCACAATCAACTAACTACTCTATCTGAAATTCATTTATCATTTTGATGTCGCCAAGAATGTCCCCATCTTGGGAGGAATCACTTACAAAGAACTGGCAGCATCGATCGGTGTCAACTGCGACGCTGTCTGCCGCATCCTTCGATTCGGAATTGCTTTTCGGATTTTCCAGGAGCCACAGCCCGGTACCATTGTGCACTCTGCAGCTTCGAGGCAGATTGCCGAGGATGGGGCAATGGCCGACTGGGTCGGTTCCAACGTGGATGACATGTGGCCATCCGCTCAAAAGGTGGTAGACGCCTTGAAACAATGGCCGTCGGCGGACGAACCGGATCAGACGGTAGGTGGATACACCCCTTGATCAGTCATGACTCATGAGTCCATGTTGAGCTGAAGTCTTAGGGGTTCAACGTGGCCAACGGGACGAAAGAAGTTTTTTACAATGCGCTCTCAAAGGATCCGGCTCGAGCACGCCGTTTCGGAGGCGCAATGAGCTTCTTCACCACCGGCCCTGGGTATTCCCTGGACCACCTGGCCGATCATTATTCTTGGGCCTCACATGGTTGTGGCACTGTCGTTGATGTCGGAGGATCTCATGGCGATACGGCTTTCGCCATAGCACGCAAGTTCCCAGACCTGAACCTAGTTGTCCAAGAGCTACCCGGAGTTGTTGCAAACTCACAGAAGCAGGTTGGGCTCAATGTCCGCTTCATGCCATATGACTTTTTTGAGGAGCAACCAGTCAAAGGGGCCAGTGTGTACATCTATCGGCGGATTCTTCACAACTGGCCAGATAAGCATTGCATCAAGATCCTGAAGGCTTTAGTGCCGGCGCTCAAGTCGGGCTCCCGGGTCCTGGTGATGGACTTTGTGATGCCACCTCCTTGCGTGATTCCCAATGCTGCTGAGCGTAAACTGAGGTAAGTGGAAAACATCCAGCAGCATTAAACAATTGTCACTAATGGCCCGTGTTTCTCATCATCATGGCTATGGACCTCACGATGCTGGAAATTGGAAATGCAAAGGAGCGCGATCTGGACGAATGGAAGGCTCTATTCCAACAGGCTGACGCAAAGTTTGTTCTTAAAGATGTGCAGCAGCCCCCAGGCTCAAGCCTTTCTATCTTAGAGTTCATCTGGAAATAACACAGCAACTACCTAACTAGGATATCCCGATTAGATTTATGTTCACGTACATGGCATCAAGGCGTGAAAGCCAAAAGTATATGTAGGTCTGAGGCGCAAGCGGCGTTCGGCTTTTGGTCCTGTGTTGTGGGTTTGCGGGTAACATAACGTCGACTGAGGCGAGGCACATATTCAAGCTTGCTGGAGTGCCATATCCTACCGCGCTGCTGTGCCTCCTGTGCATGTTGGTTGTTTGTATGCAAGAAATGTACCTAGTGGGAGGATTATTCGGCTATATGTATAAGTAATCCTTATACCCTGTATAGTAATCCTTGTACTAGGTACATTGCTTGCATACAAACAACCAATAGCCCCGTCTCGCCCGCGCCTCCCAACTTTGACTTTCATCGTCAACATCTACTCCGCTTCTTCTTACCTTCTCGTCTTGTCTCCTATCCCATTCGTGTGGCGTAGAACTTGCCATGGCTGTCCTTCAAATCTTTCTGACGACAGTGCTTTTGGCCGCTCTGCTGACGATCGGAGGTGCCATACGACGTTTGTTCCTTCACCCCTTGGCTCATATTCCTGGCCCGAAACTTGCGGCTCTCACCTGGTGGTATGAATTCTATTTCGACGCCATTCAATCTGGCCAATATGTCTTCAAAATCCAGGAGCTGCACAAACAATACGGTCAGCCAATAAGTGCACACGGATGGTCCACAGCGCAGCGTCACTGATCTACCCGGCAGGACCAATCATCCGGGTCACACCGGACGAGATTCACATCTCTGATGTTGGATTCCTCGACACCATTTATGCCCCTTCTTCGTCCCCGAGAGACAAGTATGAGTACCAACTGAGGACTTTGCGGGTTCCCGGTGGCGTTGGCACTACTCCCAGTCTTGAAGTCCATCGCAGACGACGTGAAGCCCTGTCTCCATTCTTCAGCAAACGCAATGTGGTCTTGCTTGAGCCGACAATTACCGAGAAAGTCCAACAGCTTTGTCAATCACTTTTGAAACATGCCTCCGAACAGACGCCAGTCAATCTTTCGGATGTCTTCTTCGCCTTCTCTAATGAGTAAGATCCCTTCGAATTTGGACGAATATTGATCCTAACAGAGGCTAGTGTTGTCAACAACTTCTTGTTCTCTCAGAGAACAGACGTCCTTTCGGATGAACAGAAAGCCGCCACTTTACGCCATAACAGCTACCAGCTCATGACTGGAATTAATCTCAACAAGCACTTCCCGTTCATTCCCGACTTCCTAGAATCTCTCCCGAAATCCGTCAGCAGGTCTATCATGCCACCTGGATTGCTTGATATGCTAGACCTATTTGATGTATGCGTTGCCCTGAAACTTATTGGCATGGTGTTCTAATACAAAACCCGCAGCGAGTCCGAGCCGAACTAGTAGGCATCATCAAAGCTAAGGCTTCTCGGGCCTCTAATGATTCGTCGATTGCAAAATCTGTATATTATTCTGTGCTCGACAATCCTATTTTGCCCTCACCAGAGAAGGCTTTACTCCGGCTTGAGCAAGAAGGTGCACTTCTCGTTCTCGCGGGAACTGAATCACCAGCCAAGTCCCTCAACATGATATTCTACCACCTGCTGGCCAATGCACATATCATGAGCAAGCTGCGGGAAGAACTCAACACCGTCACACGGTCAGCGTCGTGGACCCAACTTGAGCGACTGCCATATCTCACCGCCGTCATCGAGGAAGCTCACCGTCTCTCCTTCGGTGTCACGGCCAGAACAGCACGTATCGCTCGAGAAACACTTATATACACTCCTACATCTTATGCAGCTCACTCTTCGAACATCGGAAAGTCCTTCAGGATTCCCGCCGGTACTCCCATGAGCACAACTACCTTAAGCGCCCATACCGCACCGACTGTTTTCCCGGACCCATTCGCCTTCGATCCGGAACGCTGGCTCGGTGAAGAGGGCCGCAAGCTCCATAAATACCAGATGTCATTTGGCAAAGGCAGCAGAAAGTGCCTTGGCATCGAGCTGGCTCGTGCCGAGATGTATCTGGTGACTGCAGCGCTGGTTCAGGGCTTTGATATGAGATTGTGGAAGACTGAGGCGAGCGATGTGGCATTTGTTCATGATTACCATGTTTCAATGCCGAGCCTTAAGTTCAAGGGGTTGGAGGCTACGATAACTGCCTTGTGAGGAAGTATAGCATGTTTTCAATGGTTGAAGTATTAATCAGTCCTCGTCGGAGAATGCGGCTGCGGCGACAAGCTCGGTTTCGACGGCGCTATTCCAGCCAACCGTATAGATTTGGGGGTTTGACATCTTGGCAGTCTGAATTAGTGTGGTGCAAGTTCAAAACATCGTCGCGAATAGGGAGATATTCCGATATTACTTGATGTCGTACGTTTTTGATTACGTCGTTTTGGATATCACGACAGGCTGGGGAATTGACGGCCTAGAGTGTGAGCGCTCCACTATATCATTTCTCCCCGCAAATCCAACAGATGCGATAGATACCGACAACTCTACAACTCTGACCTTGACGGAGAGTGCCCGTAAAATTATGGATATAAGTCAAAGACAAAACATACAGCCTAACATGCAGTGTGGGATGCCATCCAAAAATTAAAAAACATACAACACCGGGGATTCCCCAGCCGTCACCGATCTGAGTACTAATCCGGCGCTTCTCAGTTTATCTAGGGCAGAGCGGACGGGATGCCGAGTTTTCTAAGAGCTATGGTCGTATGTGACAATTTGGTCGAGTATTTTGATACATTATACGCATAATCATTCAAATATTTTGTTGTTTTCTGACCGCAATACGCGGCCATGAAGCTTGGCATGGCACGAGGGAGCTGTCGCATGCTTTCATTTTGGTTTCTCGGAGGAGATAAGTTGAATTCGTTTTGATATTATGCCATTGGCTTGTGTTTAATCTTCGACATATTCTACTTATAATATCGTGCAGCATTTCAACTTGGAACACCACTTAGACTAGGTTCCCTTCGAGTTCATCTTGGTGGGTTACTCTCGGGTTCGGGACCCAATGGTGACATTGGACCGAGCAACAACACAACTTTTAACCAGATTATGGATTATTTTCTACTTTGTCTATGAGTCTGTACGAGAGCTTTGAGCAGGTTCTAACCGTCAAGAAAGGAATGCCGTCAGCTGCTAAGATACGGGTTTCAAAGACAGCTACCATACAATTTCCTGCAAGTTTAGGTAATTGCACGCGGTGAATCTGATTAATATGGGAAGATGATTCAGCTTCCCTTCAGCCTGGAACCTGACGAACACTATTTTCAAAAAAGATAAAGCAATATTCCATCTATTCTAGCTCCTTCTAAACATGTGCTTTCCTCACAATTCGTGCTCGTGGCATTGACGCGTTTGGCTAGGGCTACATTCACCCACATTATCATGAGAGAATGAAGCCTCAACCTGGCCTGACTCCTTAATATTCCCCTGCGTGTCCATAACTTCGGTGTCTGCTACGCCGCCTCCGTCGGGACATGCCGAGTGCAGCTGGTCAAACATCTCGTTGCAGGCATTGGTAATGTCTTGCACGTTGTCCGGGAAGACCTTGAGAAAGTCAAAGGCCGTGCGGACGCCTAGCCGGCAGATGACGCCATCGTCGCACAGCACGTTGGTCACGTCCTCCTCCATCTCCTTGGCCTTGATCTGCTCAATCTTCTGCACCCAACCGCAGAAGTGCGACTGCGCCTTGGTCAGCGTGTCGCGGTTGCCGTGGACTTGCTTGCACGCTATGTTCTTGAGCTTGACGGTCCAGCTCTCGTTCTCATCGCGAAGAAAGATGAGGCCATCGCCGCTGGCGACGCTGGGTGGGTAGAGGTGACCTTCGTCGATCATTCGCTCTACCCACTGGTGGAATTCGAGTCCACTTTGCGTGTACCTGTCGAGCAACAGTCCAGGCGACGGCGTCTCAACGTCCCGCTTCTGCAGCGCCTATCTAGGTCAATTGTATGATTGTGGCTTTCTTGTTACTATCCACACTTACCATGCCATGCGCCTGAGCAAACAGAAGAAGTAGTGAGCATGGGAACTTCATGATGATCCAGGGTTCTGGGTTTACTTGGATTCCGTATGTGTGTAGATAAAACAATAGCTAGTGAGATGATTGTTTGCTATTATATGATAGCTGTAGGACTTGGTCGATTGATTAACCGTTCTCCAAGGGTGGCATAATGCTACGGTATTGACACTCCATTTATACTTGAACAGCAAATCGTTGTTCTTTCGGTTTGACGAAACTGACGTCGCCGTTTGTTCGTTCATCCTTTTTTTTTAGACGTTGAAGTCATATTATCGCCTGGTAGATATCGATGGCTCAATCCTACTGACGTCGTCGCTCTTCTATTCTGTTTATTCTTCCTTCGCGTTAAAATTATATTTGTAACCTGGTAGGCATCGATGGCTTCTTTGCGATATGGATCGTCGAGGCAAACTATTAATAGTTTACGGCTGAAATCTTGTAAAAACAAATATTCTCGGCATGCACTGCGTTTGCCAACTATGGATCATCGTTGACACTTAGTGCAGCTTGTCCAATCCTGAATCAGCGCTGGTCGTATGAACCTTGTTAGTAATAATGCGCTATGTCCCGGGACTTAACTTGGACTGATCTGCAGTTCCGTGTCATTTGCTCTTAGATGACATTAAAATCCATGTTACACGAAATTATAAGCTTGACATGGCTTAAATCCTGGTGATAGCCACGAGGAGATCTATTATGTTTGGAGGCAGTATTTGACTACCCCTGTCAGGCACCGACATTGACCCCTGGCAAAGGCCCCGTTATAACCAACGCCACATACAATCTTCGCCTTGTATCCAGACTTCACATACGAGTTGTGCATCGTATCAACACATTGAGGTCATTTGACGTCACATGCAATCTAGTCATTCCGCCCCATCGGTAAAAGCGGATTAGGTAGAAGAGGTCAACGAGCGACGTTTTTATCAACTAAATTCCAATCCCCTGAAATCCTAATGCCTCAAACGAATGACTGCGTACTTCTTATAACCTTCCTTGAGCGCCTACCACGGAACCCTGATCCTCTCTGTACTAACGACTTCCCACCGCTCAGTCATCAGTACGGTGGCTGAAGTCCAAGTAAAGTATAGGCCTGGTTGGCCTCGTCCTGTGCGGGCATCTGGTATCGGTTGTTGTGGTGCTGCTTGTAATTATACTCGATCCCCGTTGTATCCATGTTGGGAAACAATGTGTCCTTGACCCAGGCTACTGCTTGTCGGTACTCATCCGCCGAAACATTGTTGTTTCTCCCATAGTTCCTCTTGTAAGTGTCCATGCCATATACAAATTCGGCATCATTGCGACCCATGGCGGCCCATGTTGCTCTGGCTTCTAGCATCGCCGCAGTGGGAGTAGGGGAAGCGGTCGAAATGCCGATGCTCAGCAGAGCGGGTAGGTAAATGAAGCGACTGAAACGCATTTTGAAGAATTTGCGGTAATTTTGTTTCTGGGAGAAATTGGGAAGATGTGTTTTCAATTTGATGAAAGAATATATCGAGTAGATTGATTGCAATTGCTTTGTAACTCGGGTTAAGTGAAGCAGATGGGGAGGCTACTTTGAAGTTTTTAAATGAGGCTTTATATATAAGTCGCATCTAGCTGTTGTGGCTCTGTGCTCATCTTGTCTTTCACTGGCAAAGGCTATCATCATTCTGCGGGTCAAGTTTTGTTGCTATTACAAAAGCATCGATATCCAATATTATGAGATATTTTTAGCTAAAAATCCTACAATGTATCTATTACGTATGTCGGATAAAGCATATCCAAACACATCATTGCCTATCTGATGCCTGTAGTTTTAGTGCTTGTAGCCTTTTCTAAAAACATGTTTTGATCGTCAGTTCGTATAATCCAGCGACTATATATCCATAAATCCTTCCGTTATATATACTATTCTTGGGTTTTCTCTTCAATTCTTTGTAGATCTTGTGGAATCTGGCAAGGATACCAAGATATTCAGTATAATCGATGCGATCATATCCTCTTCCTTTCTTCAGATCGTGCAGAACGGTCATCATGCAAGACTCAAATGACGCTGTTGGATTTTTCGATCTGCTAAGGACCAGCTTTACGCCGATCAGCATTTGACAGCTACGTAACTTGAGTTCTCAGGTTAGTATCCAAGTAAAGAGGTATACGAGGTATACGCAATATAGCTAAGTAGAGAATGGAAATAATGACAGTCTTTCAGACATAAATAGGCCGTAGGTTCTCTCCTGAAATCTTTTCTTTCTCTATCATCATTCACAACATCCAAAAACAACATTTAACACAACAATCGCACATCATCTTTCAACTTCCTAAATATCAAATACATATCTACTTTATCAACCCTTTAAAACAACGCCAACAAAATGCAGTTCTCCAACGCTCTTCTCGCTATCATTTCAGCCGCTGCCACTGCCCAGGCTGGTTGCTTTACTAGGGGCGACGGCAATGGTCAAGGTGATGGTCATTACGGCCAGGGCTTGAACCAGTACGACATTCTCTCTTCTGTGGCACCTCTACTGAAGGGACACTACTTGTCCAATGAAGAACGTCAGCAGTGCGCCATGGACACTTACCAGAACAAGTGGAAGTTCTACGTCAAGGCAAGTTTTCGAGACTCTCCCCATTCCGAATCGGTCCGGAAAACAATCTTGTCATTGCTAACATTTCTGGCCGCCTGCTCACAGAACACCGACGGCAAGCCCAACGATATCAGCGAGGATACTGTAAAGCAGTACCTGCACAACGAAGCTTATGCCTGCCAATACGGAGGAAAGTCCACGCAAGAGGGCCACTGGGAGATTGTGTAAGTTGTTCCATGCATCGAACCCCTCTCTATCCTCTTCAATTTCCCTGTCGGCTACAGATATTTACTGACCATCGCCATTCTACAGCTCCGACCCTAACCCTGGCGAATGTGTCTCTTCTTCGCCTTCAAGCAAGCGCGATACTACCGTCCGTGGGTGGAGAGCATAGGACATTGATCGGCCTTGTATAGTCACGAGAATTGACCGAGTGGAATAAGCATGCTTGCTTGGGTTAGGACTTTGGTGACTTATAAGAACGAGTTGTACGATTTACCAGGCTGAAGCTAGGAGCAATAGCCAGGGACCTTTCATTTGTTTTACAAGTAGCACTTAGCATTAGTCTTTCGTTCAATCACAGAATTCTCATTTTCAATTTCAGTCTTCATCTTGAGAATGATGCTTCGTTAAAACGCTTGAATATGATCTGGTTCGGGCCCTGGTTGATACCTGGCGCCGTTTTCTTTAAAAATTGCGCATTGTGAAATATGAAAAGATATGTAATTATGATAGCCGTGTTAGATAACGTCTTGGGGCATCTTTATGCTTGCCTGAGTATATTTTTACTATAGGTCTACCTTGGGATAATCTCAATCGTGTCAAAAACCGGTTGTTCTTTTGCCAAGTCTGTGTGCAGCGATTAGTAGAATTCAAAGAAATTCAGACGGCTTTTAAATTGCGTGCATTCTATAGCCAAGGACTTGTCAAACTCGATTGAATCCCACCTCTACTATTATCGAGAAGCGCTTTCAAGGACACACAGAAACTTCAAAGCTGTGCCCCAATGCCCACATCGCCTCTTCAGAATCCGTGCGCCTTCTCGGATGACACGCATCGAATCGACACAAGACAAGTCACCGACGCCTTCAATGTATACCTGTATTCCTTCGGCCGATTGTATGAAATTTTGGACTAGATCGTCATCAATCGGCCGCTCGATATGCATGAAGTTGGGCAACTGAGAGCGTGACTCCAAGGCATCATCAGATGCAAGGTTGTGGGAGTCTTCTGCGCTCCGCCTTTGCTCTCTTGGACGGTTCTCAAAGGGGGGACCATTGCGGATACTGGGTGTAGCAGGGGAGCACACCGCACGGGAAGGCTCGTCTGGGTCGACGTTTTCACCTGGCAGGCCCCCTGGTATAGGCCTGGACACGTCGGAGTGTTCTGCTGGTATCGACACGGCCAAAGGAGAGCCTTTTGAGGCAGCCGCTCGGCAACATAGCGCATAGGCCCACAGGACCACGGTGGCCATGAACATTGAGAAAGGTTGGAGCATGGTATCAGAGGGATACCTTCGAATATGCCAGTAAATGGCACCCGCATGAAGTACTGCCAGGCGGCACTTGTACCTGTCGCGATCAAACCAGCACCATGCTATCTGCTCGCATTTGGGTCTCGAAGCATGTCCAAAACACTGTGTTGCGGACGCCTCACCCGACTTGAAGCTTTCAAACAAGGTTCTAAGCTCCATGAACGGAGTCAGCAAAACGAGACGAGCCAGGTGTAGATACAGAAACACCGAACCCTCGAAATCTCCCGTCTTGGCCGAGTCGCTGACGGCGTTCCAGTGGAGCACATCTAGACAGTCACAAGCGCTATTCCTCCAATCCGCAATTTGAGGAATCTCAGCTGGATAGTGAGTAGGTGACACATAATTTCGCGGTTTGCTGCTTCCATGACCATATTCCTTTGGATTCCACTGAGACAGGGGGTTGGTGTAATATCGCTCTACTTGCCAGTTCCATTGAATAATGTGATGAATAATAATCGCAACTGAGAAATCTGGTAATTCGGGGTCGACGCATCTGTGCTTATGGAGATTCTCCAGGGTTTCGTCAATCGTTCTGGGTTCCAAAACGCCTATTTCAAAATTTTAGCCTATGGGTTGCAGGCGTTGCGGCCATAACTACTAAGCCTCGGAGTGAGTGGGCATTAAGAAGCCCAATGTTAGTATTGGAAATTAAATAAGGTTGGGGTTGCAAACAATTTTTTACCTTTTTCCAGGCACTTGGAAATTTGTTACGGTAGACATTGTCCCACATTGTGTGAACTTCATATTAGTCCCGCTTCTCGGCCCGTTGCCGACGAATGCACTTCGGCCACTACAAGATGCCATTCTTCTGTGAGAGGATATTGACCAGCGTGAAATATGAATATTTTTTAGATTGTTATAAAATGATGAAATAATGAACAATCTTCCTAAAACATGCCTTGAAGCTACACTTGGCCCGCTTTTTATCACTTCGAGCGTTGATTGGTTTATTAGATATGTCAAATTCTGTTGATCACATATGAGCGGTTGTCTTCATCAGTCATCTGTAAGAATTGCCAAAGAAAATACTTACGATCGACTCGAGTGGTCCTCCATTTCCTAGCTGGAACTTTTTTGTCGAACAATAAATCAATCTCGCCAAATGTACGGTCTTTCGTCTCTGGCAGACGGAACCAACACCAAATACTGCAAATCAAATTTGTTCCAGCGAAGAACCAGGCAGCTTTAGCTCCCCAATTCCAATCTAAAGAAATGCGTTAAAATAAGCTTTGCATTCGCCAAGTACTGCCGTATGAAAGAGTTGCCACTTCGGGATATCATTCTCGGCGTAATGATGTTATTAACAATGCCGGTAATAACGCATGAGAACCTGCCGATGGTGATGGTCTTATACCTCAATCTACCCGATGGCGTCTCTGCCACGATAGGATACGCAACGGTCCTATAGTCATCACGTTGACTAGTTGTGACAGAACCATGATGATGCCAACAGCCAAAGTAGCCGAGGGGAACCCCCAGCACATACAAACCCAAGCAGTGACAAACGGTCGAAGCATGGCGGGTACCAGTTCACAAGCGTAAGTCGTGCTGAGCGTCTTCGGAAAGTCAGCCATCAATTATCTCGAAAGCCATAGCGCCAGGGATTAAACTGACTTGAAATACCCCCCATGGGACTCCACACATGAATTCCCCAATAGCCAGTACAATCAGGGATGGCGTGAAAACAGGAATGAAAATACCTGCTGCCATCCAAATCATGAAGACCATAATAGTACTTCGGGCGCCAAACCTGTCCTGTGAGTAGGCATTGATCGCAAGGCCAAACAACTGACCGACCGCAGAAGCATTGGACAAGCCAGACTGCCATGCTGCTGAAATGTAGCGCCTGCCGGTAGAATGTTCATACTCGCCAAAGCGCTCTAGAAACTGTGTCCGGCCATAAAATGAACTCATCTTACAGCCCAGCTAGTTAGCATCAATAATGTGTTTTTGGCCATGTACAAATATATACCATGTTTGCATCAAAACCTTCCATGACAAGCGCCATTGACATGTACATTGCCCAAAAAACAGCTACCTTGTATTTCTTGAGAGCTTGACGAATCGTTAGATTCCGATCGTATGTGTCGCTCTCCTTTGCACGTTGAATCAAGTCGATTGTGTTGGGGTCGTCTAACTTGAAGACTTTTAGGTGGTCATCTCCGACGACAACTTGAGATGGTTTCATGTTGACTGGATAAATAGAGTTTAATTTGGCATCAATGGATTCTTGTTGGATGTGATGAAAGTAGTGCCCGCAGAAGCACCTGCTGTCATACACACTGTCAAGGCCGTAGCCGAGTTTGAGAAAGAAGAGAGTAGCTTTGAGCGTTTGGTAACTTGATCCAAAGGTTACGTGAGCTCAATAACAGATCATACTGACCACTTCCTACGTCTCGACAGCGAGGACTTGATTCATAAGGGAACGTCATTATACTCGACTACTCCGTCTGATTAAATGCCTATATCCGGTGGGGAAAAAAATTTACGTTCCAAGTTTAAATGTAATGTTGCAGGAAGCAAGATTGGCTGCAAAACCCGAGAGCAAGGGGTTGGTGGGGGCGGCGTTCAAACATAGCAAAATAAACCACTTATTTCTCGTTTGGGATCTCCGCCCAAGATCGGAAATAGAGACAAACGTAGCCAGCAGTATATTCGGGCTGAGATTCGAGGCCCGGGATTCGACTACAGCTTAAAACTTTAAGTCATGGTCGATGTTACTGCATGGACAAAAGTGTGGTGCTGCATAGGTATATAATCCCGGTGGAGATGGCACAAGTGGTACAAGACATCACAGCTCGGGAATAAGACCGGTTTGGTGAGAACGTTCGCTTATAAGCACCTCTTGACTTTAAATATCTACATAACCAATCTCTCTTTTCTATTCCTTTTTCACCTTTATTAAATAGTCTCCCTTTTGATTACTCCTGAATAGAAGGCTGACTATTCAATCAAGTATTATTTAGATTACGGAGCATACACAATGCCAACCAAACTCCAAAAGGCCACTGCTAGAGCATTGACAAAAGGATGCTTTGAAATCTCGGCACAGAATCTGGGACAAGTGAAGAAAGCGGCAAGATGCTTGGATATGATGTGGTGCAGGTAGGGTAGGTAAATTGCTAGGTACTGTCTATGCTTCCCCGAGCAGGTACCTACTGTAGATTGAAGCCGGAATTACTGTAATCGAGTCGAAAGGCCGGTTGCTCTTTGCCAAGTTTACATGCCGCAGGTGCAGGGTGTTTATATAGGCACGCTACCAACTTATCCGTTGCATGAGGCATAACGGAGATGATGTGTAATATGATCCTTTGGTGCTAGTGTTGAAGGAGCAACTCCACATCTCATCCTCTCAAAAGGCACATCAGTGGTAAATCCTAAAGACCAATCTCCCACAAATCAACTTCATTCTCTTTTCTTTCTTCTCCCAGGCCAGTCTACTCTTGCATCAAAAGAGACTTGGACTGAAAGAGACTTGGCGCGTCTGCTGTCTCAGGTTTTCCCCGCCTTCGTCCGACTTGCATCATTATACCAATCCAACGACATTCATAAGACTCACTGGTCAAACCAGTGATGGCATCCAAAGAGGGTGTCCTCATTACAGGGTGCAGTGATGGAGGCATCGGGTCTGCACTAGCACTCGAGTTTCAAAGGCGAGGCTATCACGTATTTGCCACAGCTCGCAACCCCTCAAAGATGTCCCGGCTAAACGGTTTGTCAGGAGTGACAACTTTGGCACTCGACGTCGTCAAACCAGACGATATGAAAACTGCAGTCGCCGCGGTAGAGGGCAGCGGGACCACCTTGAAGTATCTCATTAGTAATGCAGGGCGGAATCATTTCATGCCTATCCTGGATGAAGACCCGCAGGCAATTCGTGACCTTTTTGAGGTCAACCTCATTGGCCCAATCACGCTGACCCAGGCCTTTGCTCCCTTGCTCATCAAGGCAAAGGGCATGGCGGTCTACATTACCTCAATCTCAGGTTATCTTAGCATTCCGTACATGGGTAGGGTTCTCACGTCCAAGTTTCAGCCAATTAAAGTCTACTGCAGGCAGTTAACAAATGCTACAGGAACGTATTCGGCCTCGAAGAGATCGCTAGAGATTGTGGCCGACACTCTCCGTCTGGAGCTTGCCCCATTCGGTGTCGATGTCCTCGAAGTCGTCACAGGTGGCGTCAAGACCAATGGACAGACATATTTTGAAGACTTGAAGCTACCGGAAGAGTCACTCTACAAGCCAATCGAGGACACCTTTGTCAACAGAGCGCAAGGCAAGGGCGATGGCCTGGAAAGGATGGATGCGGCGGAGTATGCATCGGCCGTGGTGGATGCAATTGCTAACCGTACCACCGGTCGCTTCTGGTTTGGTGTTAATGCCGAGGCAGTAAGAATGAGTACAACCGCGACAACAGTCCCACAATCTGCCATGGTATGTTCTGAATGTAAATTCTGATTCCATCATCAGCGACTAACAATAGTTAGGATGCCGGGGCAGTCATGGGAACAGGACTTGATGCGTTGGAAAGCGGTGACAAATGATGTGGCGAGATTGTGCCAGCAACGCCGTGGAAGACCAGTTGCTATGTCAATGGTCGGAGACAAGCAATAAACCTAGCAATTGGTCGACATTCGAGATAAATAATCAAACAAACGACTGTGCTAGATTCCAGCAGTCTTGTTTTGATAAATTAAAGATTATTTTATTATCAGTGGAAAACAGCTACGGTTTTTAATTTGATTGGTGAAAAGCGGTATTCGCTAGAATGCCTTACGCGTAAGGCATTCTCGAGCCTCGCTAATTCAAATGCCTTGGCGGCAGTGCTGCAGCTGTGTTCAAGACCTGGAAGGCTTAAGCAAGACCAAAAGACCCCTGCGGGGTGTTGAAAATGCTGAAATATCGCCGGACCAGATCCAGTTCCAGCCCGCCATCTCCCCGAAGCCTCACCATGAATCCCAGTAATTGGTGATTCTTGACTTGAGTGGTTGATCTCTTGGAGAATGCATGAAAATAGCGACTTCTAAGCTGTTACAGCATACTATCATTTTTCGATGTGGCCTGGTCTAGGGACGCTATGGCAATAAATCGCGATCTCTAATAGTTATTTTAATCATTAGTCGCAACTGCAGTGCTGCGACTTAACGGGCGCGACTCGATTTGTCTTCTCGCGAAGGAAATGCAAGACTACGATGCATGTTTGTAGCCTCTGAGAGGCAATTCGAACAGGATCACCGTCGACTTGAAGAAGCAGAAGAACTCGTCTAGGACTTTACACAACAAGTTTTTCTGCGATATTTTGAGTCATGACACTCGTAGAGCCTTGCCATTCAGCTGGTGACCGACCGCTCTTTTACAATCCAAGGAAACATGACTAACCTCAATCTTCACTAGGGCTGACTTTGATTTGGTTTACGGCTTTTACAGCTTTATGGCCAATCGCCGCAAACCATCACTCCACAACCCGGGCAGAAGAAGTAGGATATAAGATTCCGGTAGAATCCTCGTAATTGATTCTTCAGATTCTCCATACTAGCTCCACGATAAGGCTGATGGTCCACTAATTTCCGAACCTTCTTTTTAATTTCTGGTCCGGAAATTGGGTCAAGCTGTTTCTGTACTCATTCTAGTTGCCTTTATAATGGCCAGCATTCGAAGTCCAGAGTCTGTATCATGTACCGCCACAGCTGCTATGCCCTGCACTGAGCCTTGCGAAGAGGATCCGCATAATCCTCCTAGAAGTGCACAAAACAACGCAATGGTTGACGAGATATGGACTCAGGATGAAGAACATCACGGAGAAAACTTTGATCCTGATGCTTTATTGCCTCGTGTTTTGCGGCCAGAGGCAGGCGAATCAGATTTGCAGTACCTTCCCTGGAGTGGTCCTTTTGATGATCTCTTGACGCACAACTTCATGCCGCGGTGGTGGTCAGCAATTACCTTTACCAGTATTGTTATATCATATTTATTGTGGCTGAACTGGGCGAGTAACGGCAAAACCACAATTGCAATGTCAAGTTCCTTCGATTACTATATTTCTCTATCATCTATAGGTGGTTTGATTGGAAATTTTGGTTTTTTTGTCGTATGGCTTTGGAGACGCTCGCTGGTAGGAAGTTGCTTGCTATCAATATCCATCTCGACGGGGTGTTTCATTCTTATCCGTTCATTGACTTCGACGTTGGCTTTACAAGACGGTCAAAGCTTTTGTGGTGAGGAAGTGGTAGCCGGGTGGACATGGAGGACTGGACCGCCACCTCCGATCACTCCAAGCTGTCAGGATCGTGTCGATTTGCAGCAGAGCAAACTTTTTACCGAAGCACTCTATAGGGCACAATTTGCCCGCATGATTGAGATTACGCTACCAGCAGGCAATGCCTCCATCCTTGCGTTCTCCATGGCCGACTTCCTCAAAATAAAAAACGACTCTGTACTGTGCTACCAGGGCTTTCAGGGAAACCAGGACCTTTACGGGATGGGTATTCGATATGGCATTTACCTTCAGTGGATCGCGTCCATACTTTCGAACAACTTCCTCCCAGGTACTCGGCTCGAAATTCAAAGCTTACATCTACTCTTTTCTATCGGCATTTGTGTCGCTACCTTGGTCTTCACCTTCAGAAAGACTTGTACCTTCAGCATTGAAATTGAAGTGCTATATTGGCTATTCTGGGGTGGCTTCGTCGGTGTCGTAGCAGCTTGCCCGAATCAACTCCGTTTAGGAGGAACTCAACGTGCTCGAATGCTTGGTCTGAACTGGACTATGGCAACGCTGTTTGTCACCGCCAGCCTCATGACATATCATATGATTTGGTATTTCTCTTGGGGTTATGATCAAAGTTTCTCACGTATGCCCTGCGGCACATGGCATTTTCTCATCTTGGCACCTATTCTAGACCCGAGCGAAGCTTTCTGCTTTAGCAGAGATGGTATCACATTACTCACACTGCCTTATGCGCACCTTCTGGGCATTAGCATCCCAGTGCTCACCTTTCTTACCATCCCAGAGATATTGGGCGCAATTGGCAGCTCGAGATTATGTCGGTTCTTGATGACAAGGACGGATGAGCCCCCCGAGTCAACTACCCCCACCATGTCGAGGAAGAGACTTCGAGACTCCTGGAAGAGGATCTACAGGTGGCTTTGTATAGTTTATCATGGAATACGTCACATAATTGGCCTTCCGGCGCACAACACGGGTGGGATCCGCTTGATAACCCCTTTGGATATTGCTGTACGGAGGTGAGTCTGGAATGTTACTATTCGCTAGCTCTACAGGCTATAGCTGACTCGTCTGCAGATTATATCGCATTAAATGTATCATCCTAGCGCTGGCCAGCACCGTAGTTTCTATTACGGCAATCGAAATCACTCTAGCTCGGAATAAAGTCACCAGTATCAACACAATTGACTCAGTCGGGCAATTCACACCCTTCATCATGGGCTTGGGAGCTTTCGTCAGCGTCTGCTGGCAGTTGTTGAAACAAGAAATAGTGAGCTTCGCCCAAAATTCATCCCCTAACCTCAGATAATGAGCCCCCATTGCCCAATGACTTTCTTTTGGCTAAGCTTCCATTCTAGGAACGAAGGAACAAAATCAGAAGGAGGCAGAGTATTGGAAATGATATCGAGCTCGAAACACCAATGAGATCGTTGAGCTATGCATTTTCGCAGCCAGATCAGGATTCTCTGACTGTTAACAGAACGTTGCCGATTTCGACGGATAGAGGTTCCGATGGGTAGAAGTGTGGTTACGCATTCTATTCCCTTTGGACCACGACCCAATAGCACAATCAGATATTACGAACTCCAAGCTCATGATCCTTGAAAAAGCGCGGACTTTGGAGGATTTGGGCAATGGGGCAGTTTTGATGAAAAAGGCACACCAAGAGCTTTGGAACACTTATGCCCGGGATAAGAGGCGAAAAGATTATCAGATTCGCATCTTCCAATTTTTGCGCGCGGCATTCGCCCCGATAACACTTTAAGTCCTTCTAGAAGCAATACATTTTAACCCGGAATAACTAGGCTAATATTCACGAATTTTGTATGAATTATGGTAAGAAGTTCCCTTCCAATTTCTTAAGCTGGGATTGAAAAGCCAGGCAAATAGGGAGGGAGCCTCTCTTTGCGGAACAGGCCCTGAATCATTCTCCTGACAAGAGATGCTGATACCACTTACGTGGTTCAATTTTTGTTGAATTTTCGGGTAACCAAGAATTTCGACCCCCCCTCCCCTCCTGTGGTTCTGCGTTGGAGAGTCACAGCAGCTTTCAATGGCATTCAACTAAATCACTACTGCAATATGGCTGGCCTCAGCGCGGCAACCACTTTACCTCTGTATACTCAGCAGGTACCTATCAGATTGCCCATTGGACTGGTGTGGACTGCAGTCACGATGAGGGGATGAGACAAGGTCATGATGTTGACCTTCGTAACATTTCAGTCAGCCCTTCTTTCGACACTAGCCAACGGAACTCAAAAATTCCCAGTATGGTCATCTTTGTCAAGTCAGTGAAGCCCGAACTTACGTTACCTTTGACTGCCTGTACTAACCATTTGATTGCTAGTCTGCCAAACACTTAACAACCGAGCATGAGACGCAAGGTGGCAGAAACTCCAAAGGGTTCGGCCAAAGTTATCGAAAGACGATGTTCATAGCTTTCACATGCACTCTATCATGGGGTTTCCGTGAAACAAACACTGGCGTTTATCGGATATCGGACAATATAATATATACATCGGGGAAGCCGTCTTCACGTAGTTGAAATGGTACTACATCATCACAAAACATTGAACCAGAACTTGACTTGTTCTTCAGTTTATTCTTGACTTTTTTCTATCACATCTAACCCTTGGCGGCACCGGCCTTGATGAGTAGGATATCACCATCCTCAACGACGTACTCCTTACCCTTGGTCATGATCTTACCCTTGGCCTTGACTTCGGATTCATCACCAAGCTCCTTGAGCAAGTTGAAGTTGTATACGATAGCCTGGATGAAAGTCTTCTCAAAGTCTGTGTGAATGACACCTGCGGCTTGTGGTGCCTTGATACCAAGACGAATAGTCCATTGTCGGACCTCGTCGGTACCGGTGGTGAAAAAGCTACCAAGTCCGAGGGCCTTGCGCATGGACAGAATAATCTTGGGCAGGGCAGACTCGATGCCCAGGTTCTTGCACTCCTCAGCAGCCTCGGCCTCGGTCTCGAATTGCGTAAGACGCTCCTCGAAGCATACAGAGAGGGGCAGAATGGGGTCGCCAGCGGCGTGCTCCTTCATCCACTCGGCAATCTTGGGAAGATGCTTGTTCTTCTTGCGAATGAAGTCCTTCTCGGACAAGTTGACCAGGTAGACGACAGGCTTGGCCGAGAGGAGGAAGAGAGGGTTGATGACCTCAACCTATTGAAATAGCATTAGCCACGGTCCAACCACGTCTTGGAATGATGACGGTGTGTAATATGGAGATGCAATCAGATTGTGTTTCTTATCTCAGTATGTCCTCTGCGTTGTATATTGAGGCATTCGAAGAGCTGGGTTTGAATCAGGCCTTTGGCCCTTATTCATCATAAAGGTGCGGAATGAGGGATGTGAATAGAAAGAATCATATTTCCTTACCTCCTTGGGTGACCAGGTGCCCTTTCGGACATCCTTGCCATCCTTGATCCAGTTGAGAACCTTCTCAATGGTATCTTGCTCTTCCTTGGCCTTCTTGACTTCTAAACTCTGACCACCCATGCGGGTCTTCTTCTTCTGGTTCTCGAGGGCCTTTTCGACGAACTCGATATCCTTGAGTCGCAGCTCCTCGGCAATGATGTCGAGATCTCTGACGGGGTTCACATCACCCTCGACGTGAATGATCTCGGCGTCGTCGAAGCAACGAACGACCTGGAAAATGGCATCGACGGCTCTAATGTGCGACAAGAAAGCGTTTCCAAGACCAGCACCAGTAGAGGCACCTCTTGTCAGACCGGCGATATCGTAAACCGTCAAGTTGGCGGGAACGCGCGACTTGGGGTTGTATTTCTCGCAGAGCCAGTCATATCGCTCGTCAGGCACGATGACGCGAGCCTCTTCGGGGTCAATGGTAGCGTAGGGGAAGTTCTTCGAGAGGCTGTCAGCGCGGGGTGCTTGAGAGGTCTTGTGAAAAGTTTCTTAATTTTCAACATACGGCGGGGTTACCAAGGTTGCACTTGGTAATGGCCTGGAAAAGTGTCGACTTTCCGACGTTGGCAAGACCAACGATACCGCTCTTCAAGTTGTTTCCAGGGCGACCCAGAGGGATCTTCTCTTCCTTGACGGCCTTCTTGGGAGGCATCTTGGGCTTTTTCTTGTTCGAATAACCGCGGCAAGCGACGAAACAGTAGAGTGGAGAGGTTGCAGCAGTGTTTCTAGACACTACCGAGATGACAGGAAAGGCAGAGCTAGCTGCAGATGCACGAACGATGCGGGCCAGAGAAGAGAAGGGCGTGGGAAATAGTAGGGAAGACACGGTGGTCTGTTGTTTTCGGTTCGGGCTGGGGATTAAACCAGCCTGAGAACGTAGAAAAGGATGGAGTGGTGGGATTCGAGACAAATCTCAATCAAGAGTTTGTCTACGAGCGGCGGTTTGGGTATCTGAAGAAAATGAAAAGAGTAAGAAAAAGGGAAGAAAGCGGGCAATGGTGGGCAGCCTCAAGCAAAGGAGGGGAGCTTCTTTACACCTGCAGCATTGAAAATGGAGGGGCTGCTCGCATTGAACGAGGGAAAAAAAACCTTTGCAGTTTTTGGTGGGTTTTGTTTCCCAATCAAAATCCAAGTTTTTTAGGTTGCGTGTACCTTGAAATTAGGTAGAGCTGATCGGAGCTCGGTACCAAGTTACGCCGGGGGTCAATGGTCGCCAAGGTAGGCTGTGACCAGCTGCGTTGGGCTTCTTGTAGCAGGTAACGCCGTCAGACGTCACTGTTACCGATGGAAGCACGGTCCCAGGCTTACAGATAGCCCCAGACGAGCCAGGGAGTTACATAAGGTAGTTTGTTGGCTGGGTCCGGGGGTCCAAAGCTCAGGCTGATGCTAAAACGAGGGCAGGAATTGGATCATGTCCCGCATGCATCAGCTTGGCCGCCAGTGGCTGACGCCGGCCTAGGTCTGTCCTAGTGGTGCTTTGATCGGTTCTCGTTCTCGACCTCAGGCAGACCCGTTGACCTCTGGGGTGAATTGAGACATGAATCCTGATGATGCCTTATCCTGAATCACATTCACCCGCTTCCTGAGTAACCTCTGTATACTTAATCCCTCCCATATCATCTCAATGCCCAGCAGGCAAATCAAAAGTCTGTACATCTCAGCAAGCACGTAAGCATCTCGCACATGCATCGTACATAGCAGGCCATTTGCTCTCTTCCGCGCTGAGACAAACTCCACACCCGCTACCGATCGCATCTTAGAGCCTCAAAAGCACCCCCACACGCATTGCTTCTACACTCGCCTCGCCATGTCCTCAAAGCAAGCGGGCAGGAACTCCATGAGCCGATCGAGCAGGCAATCGTCGCATAGATCAACACTATCACTGTCCCGCACGGAAGTCGTCATAAATGTCTACGATCTGCTCCCGGTAAGTCGGCATATCCACTCAGCAGCACGAGCCAACGCAACAGACAAGGTAGCTAATACAGGACCTCATCGCAGCCCGGTCGTCTTTCTTCCGTCCTCTGGACATTTGGCTCTTCCCTCTTGCATACGGGTGTCGTGATCAATGGCCGCGAATACGCATACGGTGGTCACGATCGACCGTCGGTGACTGGAGTATACTGGACAGAGCCGCGTACCTGCCCGCCAGGTGCCACGTTCAAGACCGAGATATTGCATGGCTTCACCTTTGCGACACAGGCCGAAATTGACGCCATTATCAAGTCTACAAGCGAGGACTTTCCTGGCACAAGCTACAACCTCTTGACCAAGAACTGCAACCACTTCACTCAGAGCTTATGCGAGCGATTGACTGGTAGGCGCGGGCCCAACTGGCTCAATCGTGCCGCCCAAATCGGTGTTGCACTCCCATGCGTTGTGCCACGAGACTGGCTCGAGCCGCCGGATTATGAGACCGCGGAAGGGGCCCTTGTTGAGGAGAGCGACGACGAGCTGACCACCAACGAGGGTACGGGGTTCCTGAGCCGGGAAAACAGTTACCGGGGAAATCTGGCCAACAACTCAGCTGGGGATGGAACTGCGCCTGGTGGTACTGGGAAAGGAAAGGGCAAAGCCAAATCTACCAGAGACTCCAGCGGACGGGCACTCCCAGCTTCTGAAAGGGCGCCTGCACGTTAGGAGTCGACGAGGGCAAAGACACCGTGCCGTGAAGGTGCTTGAACTACGGCATTGAAACTACTTGCCATTTAAAGTCGGCATCAAACCGGACAATGAACTTGACGATTAGGGCGCACGGGTTCGATAAGGAGGTTGCATTTCGAGGCGTTGAGGACGTGTATTCAGATTTCGGGCCATTATCATCTTCTGCCATTGAGATACCAGGATGTTATATCAAGTGCCATCGCACATTTGCGTATTCAACAGCGATACTCCACTTTCCTTGAATCTTTGCATCTTTGCGCTGCCGATGTTTTTGTACTGCATGTAGTGAAGTCAAATATACACGACGTATAAGTCTTATGTTACAGAGCAAAACCATTTCCACCAATGGACTGCTGAACCAATGATACCAATAATGACCCAATCAACCCAGACGTCTGGGCTTGCGACTCCTGGTACCACCAAACTTCAATCTGGTCGCATCACTGACTGCTACGATCTTTGGCCTCAAGAACTTGCCCTCGTTTCCTAGCAACACCTTTGTCGAGGCCTCTCGGCCATGGCCGAAGCCTCGGAGAACCACCTCGAGCTTGTGAATCTTCTTGTGCCAGTTGCCCTGGTTGAGCTTGTCTATCACATGTGCAGACAGCTGGTAGGCAGCATCGTAGGTGCCCCTCTTTGACCGCTTGAACCCAATGTTACCGGTGCTGACAGAGATGATGGCGTTCCGGTCAGGCTTGGTGACTGTAATGTGCGTGTTGTGCTTGTGGCTGTAGATGTGGAAGTGGAAGGGTTCCTCGTGCTGCCACCAATTGTCCTTGTCAATCAGCTCCTCCGAAGACGACAGCAAAACTTCCTGGGCAGTCGGCTGGTTGCGTGCCCGAGCAATGGCATCTTGAGCGAGCTGCTGGCCGCCGATCCGTGAGGGACGCGAGCCGGCGAGAGAGGCGCTGAGATCGGAAAGGCTGCTGAAGCCGGGTGTTGGCGCCGAGCGTCGCTGTGCTTGGGAAGCTGGTGAAGCAGATGTTTGAGCACCGGAAGGCGTGCCTGCCACGGATGGGGGAGGATTTGAGCCAGGTTCATCGGCGAATCGTCGACATGTCTGGCTGAATGAGCGGATCGGCAGGCGTATGTTGCTGCTACCTTGCCATTGTGAAGTCTGTCGGATAGTTGTCGCCAGAAGGCGGCTCGCTGGCTTGCTCATTGTTCCGTCGCATGCACAAGATGGACCTCACTCGGTACCGAGTCTCGATTGTCGTGTCTTGCACCGGGGCCGGAGTGGTGGTGAATTGCCTACCCGTATCATAAACCCCGATTCTGCCAAAGGATCTCTGAAGCTCGAAATTTTGAAGATTCCGTCCTGTAGCGCGCCTGCAACTCAACAGGGGCCGCTAGCACGAAAGCGTTACTAGCTTGCTGTGCGAAAGGTACGTATCTGTATCTCCAGGTCAATCACTCACTGGGACGGTTCTGCGACTGGAGTGACTCGGTTCCCACAGGCGGGTTGAATCGGAAGCGGCAAAAACTCCGCTCCGGGATTTTTTACTCTTTGGGGCCAGGGTCCATGCTGCACCTGCTGGGGTCGGAGAGCCCGTAGCAAAAAGTTCGTCGCAGTCTGCAGAAGCGCAAGGAAGAAAGACTGAGATTTGTCGCCCTTCCTGCGATACCGCTCAGGGTTATAATTCTGCGCATCTCCTCCGTTTTTGCTTTCTCAATCACGGGCGAGATCAAGCACTGCCAAATTAATCAAAATGAGTTCTCTCAGACATGCCGCGAGAAGCTCAACCTCTTCAGCGTTAAGGACGCCTTCATTGGCTTCGTCCTCGCACGGCAGATCACCCGCTTACAGGAGGATATTGTCCGGACTCGAGCGCCAGAACGGAGCGTCGCCAATTGCCTCTTTCACAACCGCATCTCCTGCTCTGGCGGCTTTGCGGTCGCCTTTTCTGCCACAAACAATAGCAAACGCACAGCTGCGAAGTTTCCACCAGTCGTCGAGATGGCTTCAGGATCAACCCAAGACCGAGGCCAAGCCTGACGCGAAACAAGAACCCAAGCCCGCCAACGCTGACGCGGAAGCAAAGCCCGAATCAGAAGAGCAAACAAAGAAAGAAGAAGAAGATGCCGACAAGTCGGAAGATGGCGAAAAGAAGCAAGAGAAGAAGAAGGATGATCTACCTCCGCCCCCTCCCCATGGCGACAAGACCCCGTGGCAAGTTTTCATGGAGACAATGCAGACTGAGTTCAAGCAGTCGAAAGAGTGGAATGACTCTACCAAGCAACTTGCTGCTGGCGCAAAGGAGTTTAGTGAAAGCGAAAATGTCCGCCGTGCTAGAGAAGCGTACGAGTCCACCACTGGTGCCATTTCATCGACTACTGGCAAGGTTTTGAAAAGTACTGGAACCGCCATTGGCAAGGGTGCCGCCTGGACCTGGGATACGTCAGTGATGAAGGGCGTTCGCAAGGGTGCAAATGCTACTGGCGACGTATTGGACAAGGCCACCAAGCCTCTCCGAGAAACCGAGGCCTACAAGAACGTCAAGAATGTGATTGACGACGGCAGCAGCTCGAGATATGGTGGGTGGGTTGAGAAGGAAGAGCGCCGAAAGGCAAAGGAGCTCCGTGAGAAGCAAGCTGCAGAGCTCTATGGCAAGCCTGAGGATATGGTTGAGGATCCCAAGTACGATGAGCCCCTTGACTATAGTTCATTACAATCATGCTAACAATCTTAGTGCTGGTACAAACGTTACTGTCCACAAGGACGCAGCTTGGAAGGAGGCCTGGAGGGATTTCAAGGACCAGAACAAGCTCTTCCAGGGCCTTTTCAACGCCAAGAATGTCTACAAGGAATCCGAGAATCCGCTGATCGAGACGGCGCGAAGCATCACGGACCGAATCGCTGGCTTCTTTGCCGAGAACGAGACCGCTCAGGTCATCAAGAAGTTCCGATCCATGGACCCCAACTTCCAAGTCGAGCCTTTCCTCCAGGAGCTTAGAGAATACATTCTGCCCGAGGTCCTTGACGCCTATGTCAAGGGTGACACCGAGACTCTGCAGCTATGGCTGTCGGCAGCCCAGTACTCTGTCTACGAAGCTCTGACGAAGCAATACCTCCAGATGGGCATGAAGTCGGATGGCAAGATCCTTGATATTCGTCACGTCGATATTCTCAAGGCTCGTATGCTCGAGCCTGGTGAGATACCCGTTTTTATCATTACCTGCCGAACTCAAGAGGTTCACGTCTACCGCAACGCAAAGACCAATGAGTTGGCTGCCGGCATGGAGGATAGGGTGCAACTCGTCACATACGCCATTGGAATCACGAGAACGCCCGAGGATGTTACCAACCCAGAGACAAGAGGTTGGAGATTGATTGAGATGCAGAAGAGCGCTCGTGAGTACATTTAGAGCCTGAGCGCTAGGTATGTCACTGGCAGATAGGGATATTGGACACATATCTGCACGCCGCTGGACGCTATTCGCTTCATCTCAAATCGACCTATACTACATATGTGTTATAATACTGTACCATACGGATGACAAGTAGACCGGTTTGGCCATTGGGGGCCGGCAAAGAAAAAAAGAAAGAGGCACAAAAGCCTTCTCACACCACTCTACAGCATGATACGGAGGCGTTCAAACAGGCGCAGATGCATTAGCGGTTGGATGTATGATAGAAAAAGCATGCACATGATACCTCGAGTGCAAATCAGAGAGTTTGTCTAGGGCATGTTTGAGCCAATGTATTTGTATTCCATGTTCGCTTATTGTTGATATTCCTCTAGTTCAAGCGCACCTCAATTCCACATCCGCTTGTGGCAAAGTATATACAAGATGGTCTTCGCTGGATGTGCATGCTCACTAATAAAATTAAGCACGTCAACTGACCAATGCTTCTTCGTCCTTGAAATTCTGACGTACAGCCATCAGTGCTTTCCCCAGCAAGTTTTCACCCCAGTGTTCACGATTAGACTCGGCATCTGCTTCCCTAAAGCCAATACCCCAAATCCGATCGAACGGGCTCGCCTCTATCAGGTGTCGGTCGCCCGTCCGCAGCAGTGCAGCTCTGAAGCTAGGCGCGCGTATCGTCTCGGCGTCTAAATTTGCGCCGAGATGCCAATGCCGTACCGGCGGGCCAAAGCTATCGTCACCGCCATGAGGAAATGTAAACTTGCAGTAATTGGCCCGACGCACGATTTTCTCCCTGTTGGCGACCCAGACCTCCTCGTCGAATCCCTGGACGGCCCGTCCGAGGTTCTTGGCCTCCTTTGGCGTGCTGGCCGCGAGGATCTCGGCTGCCGTGTTTGCGTCCTTGAACAGCATGGCCTTTTTGTACATCATAAAGTGCTCAGCTGTATAGTAAGTGTTGCGATACTGATCCGTAGGGTCGTAAAAGGGCTCTGTGAACCACTGAGACAGGAACCCGGTGCGAGGGTGAGACTCGCGATAGAAGTAAAGGGGTTTATTGCTGGACGTCTTGTTCTTAGCTGTCCTGGCGTCTTCACGAGATATAGTCTCAGGCGCAGATGAATCCGTGGGTTCTTGTGAAACAGGAGGCTCTACGACTGGGGCCGGAGGGTGGGCATCTGTGGCAGTAGGTTCTTCAACCGTGGGCTTGGACTTGGACTTGGATTTGGACTTCTTGGACTTCTTGGACTTGGATTTTGAATCGGAATTGAAATCGTGCTTGGGGTCTGCCAGTATTAATCCTGGCACCTTGGGCGTCTTCCTGCTTCGAGCCATGGTGAAAGCTGCGATTTTGTAGTCGAGTTGATGACTGTGAAATATCCAAAATAATAGTGTTAAGTAAGTGATCTGCGTATGCCTGTTGGCTGTAGTATGATGCTTCTGTGAGGAGATATCGTCCAAAATAAATTCCCGGTGTCTAGGTATGGTGTTGTGTTGAGGGTGTTGTTTGTTTACATGATGCAGGTCCTGGCAGCGGATATGGCATATATATATCCACTCGCTTGCTACCTAGTACGTTGATGCAGATGTACCTTCCTCCGTCTTGTTGGCGGGTTACACTCATCAGACTGCTCTGCTTGTCTGGTGCTCTTCGGCAGTGACTCACCTCTTGGGACTACATGAGGCTGTGGAGTGGGTAGGTGCAATGATTCAATCAACTAGTACCGCCACCACTTGATGGCAGAAAGTGCAAAACAAGGTCATTACTTCTCAATCCGTGACAATTTTGAGGTAGGTGGGCTGGCCAGGCTGAGAATACTGCAGTTTGAATTCTCGTACTGAGTTGATGCGAATATGATCTTTGGTCGCGGTAGGTGTGGGTCCCGATCTAGGTACCTGCATGTAACAAGATATAGTGCCGATCAGCTAGTATCTTTGTTGAACAATGCCTCTGCCTATTTCATTACTCTACAAATGCTTCAGTCTACTTAGAAGTAGGATATATCATTAGACAGTCAAATTTCTGACACTTTCACGCGGCAAATACAACAAAGATTGTTCTAGAGCTACTTGTAAACACATACGGATACTGCAATGTTGTGATCGGTGTTGTGGATCCGGGGAAGATCTGGGGTCCCGCATTGGAGCCGCTGCCGACTCAGATGGCACAGGATATGAAAGAAACCAAAGACAGGGCGGCAGAGGAGATTGCTGACACCAATTGTGGTTGCCAATTGTATGAATGAGAGGAAATCGCCTATGCAGCCGCAAGATCCCTGGGTTTTCTCCAATAAAACATCTAGTGTTCGTGACGCTATGACGTTGACGACAATGACGTAGATGCCGCGGTTGTCCGGACGCAAACACAAAGTGTATGTATACGAAGGCAATTTCAAGATAAAACATCAAAACAAAAACTCTTGCCTGTAATACAATAATTGACACTCGGCACACATTTAATTTCTGGCTTAGGATCCATTTTCCTTTTTCACACGTGCAGCTGTCATATCCAACAAACACCAGCGACCGCTGCCGATACAAGATGTACATCCCCACGACACAGAGCGTCATCACTGCCGGCCTGGCCATGACGGGTCTCTTGAAAGATCGTACGCCAACCCCGTCACCTCTTGATCTCCCCATCTCAGAAGCCTCTGAACTGACTCCAAACCTCATCAAAACAGCTTCCACCGTTGCCTCGGGGAGTGTGCTCGACTACGCCGTGGAAAAGTGCCTAGACGCCGACGGCAACACGCGATGCAGCAAACCTTTTCTGGTTACCAAGTCGACCTGCTACGAGATCGAGTGGCACACCGAGGGCGTCCTGACGCACACCACGGCCGAGGTCCGCGACGCCGGCTCGGGCGAAATGGTCTACTACCGCGACACCAACGGCCAGTGGACGCCCGACAAGGGGGAGCTGGTGTATCTGGACTTCAAGCCCAAGATTGTGGCCACGGGAAACCAGACGGTCGATTATACGGTCAAGACATGCGAGTAGACTTCCGTGGATCATCTGATGTTGAGGTATACTTTGTACTGTGCTTGGTACCACAACGGCCTTCTTGTTTACGAGATTGTCATAATAGTATTCTTTAGACGTGTCCGTATTTGGTTATTGAGACTCGGAAGAAGAATGCATCTGAGATGATCACTACATAATTCTCTCCAAATAAAACATTGATGTAAAACTCACTTGATCGAATTTCAAGACCTCGTAATTAAACCAAATGAGCCGCGCTGAAATCGATTGATGCGCTTGATCAACTGCGTATGAAAGTCCAAAATATGTATCAGAGCTATGCACAAGCTTGCAAGGGAACACGATAGTCCTACATGAGAGCATTCCGCCACGGATGTCGACTGTACAATACCATTGAAGCACACGGAGACGTTTCCATCTGATCCAGTCTCGTGAATGTAATATCTGCCTATTTGTCAATGAATTGCCAGGAAATACCTCTACCATGGTGTTGATGTGCTTAGTTCACTTGCACATCAATTCTTCTTGTCCTCCAATACAAACATGCTCCCACGCCAGCCGTAAGCACGATTAAGTCTTCGGCCATGACGACGAGCAACCAAAAAGGGAATCTTTCCGCGAGGGTGCGGTTCGTGGAATTGAATGCTCCTTTCAACGTCCAGCTTTGTTGGCTGAAAGTGCCAGACGGACCCGTACAGTTTCTGCGCAGTGAACCCGGTAGAGTCCATTGCATGTAGGAAATCACGCCAGGCCACTTCGCCAGCCGTTGTGTTCGCCGACGGGTCGAAAAAGACAATGCGGAAAACCTTCAAGGCTCTGGCATCTATCTTGAAGATGGGCTGTACATCGTCTATAACAGCGGGTAATGCTGCCTCTGTATTTTCTTCTTCTGGCATGGTTCCCGGAGCGCCACGGCTCTTGATCTTGGTCTTGGTGAGACCCGCGGCTAATGCCTCTGCACGAGCTGATGTAACAGGTTCAGAGGATTGGAATAACCTGGAAAATGGAACGATAAGCTCCTCCACTTGCCTTTCACTCGGCTTCCCATCCTTCTTTGCCGTTGGCTCAACCCACTCTGGTGTGCGCTGCAGGTATCGCGGTTGCGAGAGGAGTTTCTTGTAGGCCGTGCCGCTGAGCTTGTGCACTTTTTTGTGTAGCATCTGGTCAACCGCACTCCAGAATGCATCAAGATTGGCCTCGGAAGTTCGAAGCATCTCCACATTGGCCTTGTTCCGGCGTTTCCCAATGGGGTACTGGAAACGACCACCCGTGGGGTCTCCCAATTGCCGGAGACCAATCGTGTTCTTTTCATTGAAGCATTCGAGAACCTGAGCCCATGAAGCGCTGCGTTGCGCAAACTCCTTCTTGAACTCCTCTTCTCTCTCCACCATTGCGTTCTCAAAGTTATTGGCCCAGGGCTGGTAAATCTCAAGCTGCCTCAAGCATTCCCCAACAATGGAAAGCTCTCCGACCAGCCCTGCGATATATGATGATACGAGCTCAGAGGCCTTTGGGTCGGCCCTCAACAGGCGATCAAGCTCATCGACCACCGTGGTCAATTTCGCAAGAAAGAGATTGTTGCCGTCTTCCCATAAAGTCTGAAGGAGCCACATGAGTGATTTGGTAGTCTCGTCCATTCTCACGCCCTTGGACATGATCTGCATCATGGAACTTGACACTGATACCGGCACCTCCCGAACAAAGAGTGACCTCAAGGGTGGCGACGCTGTAGTCGTCATTTTCAATTGTTCTAGCACGCCCTTGACTGCCCGCAGGAGGTAAAAGCGAAACTTGAGCAAGGCTTCCAGATACTCCTTGGGGAGGTCCTTTCCCGGATCAATTTCTGATTTGTATTTTTCCGAGAGAACTTGTAGTCGTTGTACTTGAGTACGGAGTTCTGCAAAGATCTCAAGCTGAAAGAAGGATTCGGTCAGGACACTACCAATCACTCGAGCCCATAACAAGCCCTCCCGCGGAGGTAGCAGAGTGGGATGCAAACCACCTCGAAGGTCCTTGATCATCTCTTGACGATGCTCCTTCATGTCCAAAAGAATGTCGGCAAAGTAGCTGGGATCCTCACGCATTGCCCAGATGTGATCTTCAGCACGGACCGTTCGTGCAGCTAGGAGTGATTCGATCTTGCCCAGATCCAGTTTCGCGGGTGGCCGGTAAGCAGCCTCTCTTGCTAATACGCCCAAGGTGGAAAAGCCCGTTGCATCGACACCCTCTTTCAACGAAGGCTCAGGCTGGATAGGATATTCATCGCCAGCCACCCTATCAGCCGGGATGTCATGGAGTATTTTCTGGCAGCATTCGACCAGGAAACCAAGTAGACGTTCTTGGAACTCAAGGATCAAGAGACCCTCTCCTGGCAAGAATTGCTTACGCTCATGCATCCAGTCAAAGGCGTCCTCGTGCTCACTCCAGGCAAGCAGCTTGCCGTAGTCCTTCTGTTCCGGCATGCCATTGATCAAGATGACGTGTTCGTTGAGAAAAACCGGCACAATTGCCATGGTCACCTTTCCCAGGTGGCTCTGTTCGCCATCGGCGGCTGCAAACACGTGGGGGTGATTCCTGCCTCGGGCGTTGAGCAACAGGGGCAAAGTCCTCGGATCACCCAAATCTTCTTGGTTGATACTAGGCCACAGAAAGGCGGAACGGTGCTGAGCAGCAACACGGGGGATATTGTTGGAGTTCCGGCGAAAGGCAGCAAAGTCGGGACGATGCGTGAGTGGCATGTCGGGCCAAGCACCCAAGAGGATGCTCAAGCGTTGAGGTCTGGACTTCTTCTCCCAACGCTTTTGGATAGTGCTCTCATGGCGCTCTAGAATGCTCTGCAGGAGCCGATAACCGGCAAATATGCGCTCGGAACGCCGTGCTGCCAATTCCCGGACTTCCTTTGGCTGCATCATGGGGGGAGCACCCATACCACGAGCGGCGAAGATGCCGAATGGGTCGGTGTTGTTTACATAGTCCACATCATCGGGGACATCAATGTCATCGAGCTCGGGATGAGGCTCAAATGGATTGAACTGATGGTTGTTCATCGGCCGTAGCGGGTTCATCTTGACGACTTTTCCTTAACACAGGTCTGATTGCCCAATTTGGTCCTGTTGCTGCTTGGATGAAGTTCAAAGTTTCGTTTGCTTTTCAGGGTCCATTCAAGTGCCACTTTTATTTTGGCGGGGGTGGGCCACCTGCAGCCAACCGTGCTAAATGACTGACCATCAATAAGGGTTCTTTTTTTTAATTTTCTGTTTCTCTTCTTCTGAAATTTTCAAAAGGATGGGCCAATTAATGCAATTTAGTTATTTTCCAGATGCATCCTCGAAAGGATGATGCATCGCTTTTAATCGGATGTGGCATATTCGTACCCCTTGTAAGATGCTAACGGTATGGCTGGATATACTCCGCAGTGTCGCACAGTTTGTTTTGTGAATATCGCCACTGTATTCAGATGTGAATTATTACTGTACATTTTACTTCGCTGCTTTTTGCTCTCGATTTGGGCACTTTCATTAGGCAAAGTCTATGGGTACAAGTAATTAGATTTTCCTTCAAAGCCTCCTCGATCTTTATAGTGAGAGTGCTAAACTTTTGAACCCTCCAAAGGCCTCCAAGTGCCAGGGACTGAATCTCGAGGCCTCAGTCCAGTTAATGACGGAGCGGTATTTCTAAGTCACAGCAGAGTGCTTTGGAGTTTGGTTTACAAGTACGTATTTCGTTCGAGCTTGTACAGTCAGAGGCATCTATTCCAGTGACCAACTCAAGAGGGTCATTGTAGTGATGAGAAAAAGTGAAAAGGGATAGGGAAAAATAGATCATTGAGAACACAGAGAAGGAAAAAGAACCGGCAGTGAAAGAGGTGATGCATTTAGGGTTATGTGGGGACTTTCGCTGCCTTGCTTTGCCCGGGAAGGAATTATGCAGATGAAAACGTATAATGCCGCACATCACTGGTAGGATCTTCTTCGCTTTTGAAGTTGGCAATGGGCACCAAACTTTGCTCAGTTTAGCATTCTGTGTTCACATGGGTGGTACTCTGTTTGCATCAATTATTGTCATTGTATTGTCATATTGTCATTTACTTCGGGTATGTACTTTGTATCGCTACATAATCTATGCTCAAGGCTGAGCGGGCTGGGTCAAGTCGTAGTTCCTGAAGGCGCGAGCGGGAACCTTGCGCTCAAACAGGATATCCAACTCATCAAAGCTTCGGCCATTGGTCTCAGGCACGAAGAAAAACAAGAGGACGCCCATGATGAGAGCCATGCCACAGAAGATCCATCCCAAGTTGCCACCGAGGTTAGCCTCGTCCGTGTTGAACAGGTAGGGCAGGACAATGGTCCAGACAATGCTGCAAATGCAGGACCAGGTATAGCCGATACCAATGGACTTAGCACGCAGGCGAGTGGCTGAGATCTCACCGGCCACGGCCATGGAGGAACCAATAGCAGGACCATAAGTGATGGAGGTGAACTGCAGGGCGACACCAATGGCCAGCAGAGAGCTATTGGAGCGCGGCACGACGGCGCCGACGCCCATGATGAAGTACATGGTGGCGCAGAGGCCGACACCAAAGAACATCAGCGTGCGGCGGCTGAACTTCATCATCAGGAAGACGTTGAGCGAGGCAGACACAACACCCATGGCGATGCCGACCTGGGTCAGGAGGAGCACCATGTGGCTGTCCAAACCGGTCTGGTTGAGGAAGTAGGGAGCGTTGGAAGAGAGAACGGCACCGGCAACCTGGGGCATGTACATGCAGATCAGGATGATCATGGTGCGGCGCAGGTTGGTACCGCGGAAGCACTCAATGTAGGTGGCGGTGGATTCGACTTCGCGTTCGTGCTCGATGGTGGCCTCGATCTGGTGGGTGCGGGCGGCAATGTCCTCGTGAGATCCAGACAGCTTCTTCAAGGAAATGATGGCCTCATCTCGGCGGTTCTTCATGACGAGCCAGTAGGGCGACTCGGGCAAGAATGGCAGACCGAGAGCCAAAACTCCAGGGAAGGCCCAACCAGCAGCGAAGAGAACCTTGTAGGCCATGGGATCGATGATGGCGACTCGGGAAAAGGTCGAGGAGATTGCAATCAACATGCCAAGGTTCTACGATATGTTAGCTTGCTGACAATTCGCTGAATTTTCATGAGTGAGAAACACATACCATCATGATGATGTTCATCGACAAGGCAATACCACGCATCGGCAGCGGGGCAATCTCGGACACATATGTCTGCGTAACAGTCTGCATCATACCAACAGCAATACCAGTGATGATCTTGCTGCCCAGGTACACGGCAGAGGTCGAGGCAATGAAGGCAACAGCGATACCAGCACAGGCGAGAACAATGGCACCGGCCATGACCTTCTTGCGGCCGACTCTGTCCTGAATCCAACCAGCGAAGAGAGATCCAATCATCATTCCGACATTGTAGCAAGCGTTCCAGGCTGACTGCCAGTAGGCGGGGATCGTGAGAGCGCCGTTGACTTCCTCAGCAAAGGTCATCTGGAATGCTGGCATGGCCAAGCACACCGAGAGCACGAGATTTTCATAACCGACGAGACATGAACCGACTAGATAAAACAAAAATATTAGGATCAAGTGACTCCCATGAAATTTGTATCAAGGTGAATGAAAAACTCACTGTTGGCAAAGAGTGACCAAGCCACAATCTTTGGGTTCTGTTTCAGACACTGAAAGGGACTGAGCTCCCGGTCAACTCCCTCGATCACATCTTCATCATGAAAAGCATTCGGCTTGTGAATCTGCACAACATTGGCGGCGGCTTCCTCGTGCTTGGACATTGTGTGTTCGAGTTGCTGTTTTTTTGCGGAACTGGCAAAGGTTCGCAGTTGACGGGGTGCAGAACAGGCGGGTGGTTCGCAGTTGTCAAGAGTTGTCCTAGAAAGGAGGAAGTGGGAAAAAATAAAAAGTCCAAAGAAGTGTTTGACTTTTTCAATAAAAGTATACGATGCTAAAGTTGATTATATGTGGTGACGAGTTCTCACTTATGAGTGATGCTATAGAGCCCCAAAGTGGAATGTAGAGTGGGAAGGATACCGGGCGGTTGATATAGAAGAAACGAAAAGGAGGCCGAGAACAGACTTTACCTCCCCAGGTTGGTTAACTGGAATCTCCACACACACCAAAGACGGGGGTGGTTTCGGCGTTACAGTCCACGTGGGGAAAAGTGAATGTATGCATTACTGACGCAGATTCGATAGTCGAATCTGTTCCCAATGTCCAACCGGGCAATGTCTGTTCGCCAAATAGAGCTCATGTGCGTTGCATCTTGCGTGGGCCCTCTGCCTGAACGAACCAAGTCCCCATTTCCCCCCAGCCCGTTGCGCCAACTCTCTTTCTTTCGCTTCCGCGGGGTCGGATCTGGGGAAGATCCCTATGCTAACGCCGCATTCGGGAAATCCGGGCACGGCTATTCCACACACCACACACACACACACACACACACACACGATTCTTTGAGGCTATTTTC